TTGTAAGACTGGGTGCAAGAAGAAGAGACCTAAGTTAGGACACTGGAATAATAGTTTCCCCTTAAGGACTGTTTGATGTGTGCTATTAAATTGATTCTCAAATTGGTTAACACAAGGAAATGGCTTGCATCTCTCACCTAACAAGGTGACCCATGTGTGTCTGCTGTTGCTGCTATAGGCTGTCATGAAAAACTACATAACCACTTGGTTCCACTGTACATTGAGTGCAGCTGACAGTGTCATGGCTACAAGATGGCTCTGCATCTAGGTGTCATAACGACATTCCAGTCAGAAAGGAAAGGAGAAACAAAATGGCTTCCATTTGTCTCATTAGCCAGTGGTGTGACAGGGCCATGCCCAACAGCCAGGGAGCATATGAATTTGGAAGTTTGTTTAAATTGAAGATATTGTGCCCCCCCCAAAACCCTAATACATTAGCAAAGAAGAGAGGGCATGAGACACTGAAATGACTATCAGATTAATCAACACTTTCAGGAGAGTTTAACCCAGAAAATGTTATTTGAAAAAAAAAAAGTACCCATAACTCATTGAGTGCACAAAATAGGTATTTAGATTGACCAGGAATGTCTTCTGAAATGCTCTTAGACATAATTTCAGCAGAACAACTGCCTGAAGAAAACAGGCCACCATTCCTAACATTAGAAAATAAATTTGAAAAGAAAGATGTGGTGTAGAGAGAGAGTGGTGAGTCTATGTTCTCTCCGCAGGGCATTTTGGAGTGTCTGGACAGCGGGGAGGTTGTGGTGGGGGATGGCAGCTTCTTCCTCACTCTGGAGAAAAGAGGCTTTGTGAAGGCAGGGCTCTGGATTCCAGAAGCAGTAGTAGAGCATCCAAGCGCAGGTGAGTGCCCACTTCACCCAGGGTGTGTATGCAAGTAACAGTTAGCTTAGACACCAGTGAGAGAAAAATCAAGGAATAATAGCAAGCATTTCTAAGAACTGTTTCCCTTGCAAAACTGCCAAGAGGTGGAAGTCACATCAGGGTGTGGACTGAAGCACAAGGAAATTATCTGTTTCCTTCTCTATTTCTCTCTCTTTCTTTCCAATCATATCTTCTTGAACAAGCATTGTGAAAGATATACAGCTCAATCTTCATTCCTTGACTATTTCCCTGTAGCTATCTAAGAGTTTCCTTAGGTTAGCAAAAATCATCAGTGGCTTTAGACTCATCCTGCTGATGGTTTTGCACGATAGATAGCAATCATGACTACAGTGATAATGGCTGATAGCCATCACCAGCTTAATGATGCAGAAAGCCAGGCCAAGGGAAATCTAGTGCAAAGAAAGGAACAGGCTCCGTTCACCTTCCTGATATAGTAAAAATAAAAGTAAATGGATTGGAATAGAAACCATTGTGATTTGATTGGTGACATCACATTGGTGCTTTAACTCTACCTCGCTTTGTTGATTTTCCTTGCTCTCCTACAGGAGGAGAAATAAAACCAAAGAATGCAATGGGAGATCGAGACACACACTGGAAGTGCAGCCTCTGAGTCAACCTGATTTCATTCATGTGAACATAATGCAATGCAAAAATGGCATTCTTGCTTGATTCTTCCCTAGGCCAGCTGTGTGACCCTAGACATATTTCTTGACTTCATTGAAAATCTGTTCCTTTGTCTGCCACTTGGGGCGGGGGTGTGCGTCAGTTGTGAAGGCAGATAAGTTTACCCCCTTGAGCTGCCCAGGCATCATTAGAGCTCTGTGGCCATTGCTGCTGTTTCCTGGGATTGCTCAGACACCCACTTTTCATGGAGAACAGAATAGTTTTGCTTCTCCGGTGCCTCTTAGGAATTCTTCACTTTGTTCTTATTACCAGGAGGTGATGGTGGGGTAAAGATGTAGTGAAGGGGGACTTTTTTACTTTTTTTTTCTTTCCCTTTTTTTTTTGAACAGGATGTCATGCATCCTAGGCTGGCCTCAAGCTAGCTATGTAGCTGAGGGTGACCTCAAACTTCTGATCCTTCTGCCTCTACCTGAGAGCTAAGACTACAGGTGTGAGCTACCACACCTGCTTTACCAGGTGCAGAGGATCAAGGCCAGGGCATTATGCATGCTAAGGAAACATTCTACCAACTGAGCTACATCTCCAGCCACAGAGGAGTGACTTTCTGAGACACTAGGGGCAACAGGGCTGCTTGCCACATGACTCTCACACTTGCTCTTAAACCAACCTGCTATGGGTATCAGGCCCAGGCCCTGTGTGTGAGCTTCGTCACTCTTCCCACATTGGCAATAATGGGCCAGCATCATCCTTCACACATTGCTGTGTGAATAAACTCTAAACAAGGATGAGGGAACATGGACCAGCCAGGCCTCAGGCTCTTCATGGAACACACTTGAGGGCCATCAGCAGGACCCTATGGGATGTTCCATAGTGCAAACTGTCCTGTAAAGACACTGACTTTAACCTGTATATCGATTCGAGGATTGGAATTGGGTCTGGCGGGGAGGGAGTAAAGGGAAGGCACCGCTACTGAGAATATAAGCTTCTTTTGTAATTGCAATTTCAACTGCTCGGCAGTTGGTCAGCTTCACAGAGAATTCTTGAGAGCGGGAGCTCATGTCTTGCAGACCTTCACCTTTTCTGCAACTGAGGACAATATGGAAAGTAAGGTAGCTGGGGTATGGATGGGAGCAGCTGCCAGGAGCAGAGCCTTCTCATGGGAGGTGGGGAAACTGGCCTTCTGTGCTACTGTATACTTTGTAACCAGATAACATCCAACTCTGGTGACTTCATCATTACACGGACATATGTGTGAAACACAGTATCGTCAGTTTAGGTGGAAGATGACAGAACAGACTGTTGGAAGGGTAAGGGATCCTTTCAGAGGTATTTTATGGAGAAGGAACATTTGACTAATTTTTTTAACCTTCTGAGTCTATTGTTCTTTCTCATTCTGTATTGTCTTTCTGGAGACAGAGAGGTCCTTGGGAATTTAGCACTGACCTACAAATGACAAAAAATCAAGCTTGATACCCAACTTTTCTGTCTGTGTGACTTCATATAAGACCATATTTGCATGGTACACTGGCCTTAACTCTGGAAAAAGATAATAAATAGTGCTATGATCAGACCTGTCAGGAGGAACAGATGGAATCATGGAAGGGGAAACATTTGCAAAGCCAGCTGATAAGTGACTGTTCTGGATGCTCATGTTCACTTGAAAAAAAAAAAAAAAACTGCATTCAGTGGGAATCAATGTGTGCTGTGTGTATGTTTATATCCATGAACTATAATTATGGTGTTCTCTATGCTAAGTAGAAATATGACAAAAAGGCTTAGACTCTCTTTTGAAATGGCTAATGATCTGTAGAGGGAAACAAATAGAGTTACTAAAATCCAATGTGGTGGGACTGAAGCATGGTTCAATGGTTAAGAGCACTTGTTGCTCTTCCAGAGGACCCAGATTTAATTCCAGCTCCCCACATGGCAGCTCATAACTGTCTGTAATGCCAATCCCTGGGGATGTCCTCTTCTGGCCTCCGAAAACACCAGGCACACATATGGTACACAGACATACAAACAGGCAAAATACCATATACATTATCATCATCGTTATCATGAGAAGAATAAAAACAACAGGAAGTGAGTCATTATATCTCATAATTAGTCTAAATTTATGTTTAAAAAATCCAGTGTTTATAGTAACAATAATCACCAGGGGTGGGAGTGGACAAAGCAGACAGATATCTGGGGCTCTTTGGTCAGCCAATCTAGCTAAACCCCTGAGATCAAGACTCAGCGAAAGACCCTTTCTCAGAAATTAACATGGAGAGCAACCTGGTGTTGACTTCTGACCTCCACAAGCACAAACTCCACTACACACACACACACACACACACACACACACACACACACACACACACACCAGTCACTGGTAACAGAAGAGGTTACACTCAGTTCTTCTTGAATTGCAGTTTGCCGGATTGACCTGCCCTCTGCTCCCTTCCTGACTTGTTTTACTTTACATGTTACTTTACTTTACATGTTTCTTCTCTTGCTCTCAGTGGGAAGACATAAATGCAGCTGCCTGTGACCTGGCCAGGGAGGTGGCTGATGAAGGGAATGCTTTGGTGGCAGGGGCCATCTGTCAGACATCACTGTACAAATACCACAAGGATGAAACTAGAATCAAAAACCTTTTTCGAGTACAGCTAGAAGTTTTTGCCAGGAAAAATATGGACTTCTTGATTGCAGAGGTAAGGCTGGTCTTAGAGGAACTGGAGCAGGCTACTCTATGCCCTCATTTCCTTCATGTAGATCGTCAGAGGTTTAGGCTATCACACTATAGTCTAGACAACACTCTGCCATCTGCATGCTGGGCTTTCTGTGAGGCAAGAGAGGGACTCACAGCATGCCTTACTGTGGGGTTTGCTTTCTGAGGTTTAAGGGGGCCATATAACATGAGATGAGAAAAAGAGGACAATGGCTTAGTATATGCCGCCTCCCACAAGAGAGACCAGGCTGAAACATACTGGGGAGATAGGGCTAGAGACAGTTGGATAGCCAACTCTCTCGCAGGCAAATGGCTGCTCGGGTTTACCCAGTGGTCACCAGCAAGACTCAGCACTGGGTAATTATTGGCTTCACCGTCCTGGCCTTCCTCACTGCCTCTCTGCTTCTCCTCAACCTATCACATGTGAATGGCCTTTTAAAGAAAGGAGAGATATATTAAGTCAGGTTTTGGTTGTTATTGTTGTTGCTGAGACACAAACCTGAGAAAATCAACTTAAGAGAAGAATAGAATGACTTGGGCTCATGGTTTTGAAGGTTCAGTCTTTGGCCTGCTGGCTCTGGGTCACCTGACTCTGTTCTGGGTCTATAGCTGGACAGAGGATGATGGAGGGAAGGCATGGTAGGGTAGGGCTTGGCAACTAGGAAATAGAGCGGGTAAAAGGAAGAAGCCAGGAAAACATGGTCTTCAAAGAGGCACATCCAGTGCCACAAGACCCCACCTCCTACTCCTTCCCAAAGATGCTGTCAGAATATGAATCCACCCATATCTAATGGCATTGATGTAGTCAGAGCCCCTCATGGTCCAATCCCTTTTCAATCTTGGCTCCACCAGCTGAGTTCCAAACCTTCACAACATAAACCTCTTGGGGGATATTTCATATCTAAGCCATAACACCTGGGCTCTGACTGGTCATGAAGGACACTCTCTTCCTTCTTGTCCCCATTTCCCAACACAGTTGTTCCTGCCTGGGATCAAGCCCTCAACTTTGGTCTTTCAATGACAACAAAAATGCTGTCCAACTACTATTTCTCTATCACAATATCTGCACTGTCTGCTAGTAGAAACCATCTTAGGGACCAGGGCTGCCTGCTCCTCCTTGCAGATTCTAGGAACACTGCCCTAGGTGTTCTTTAGATGTAGGGGAGTTGGGTAGAGACATCACTAATGTTTTCAGAGCCTGCCTTGATCATCTTTCTCATTCCTCAGTATGACTTCAGTAGAATTTCTTTCAGAATTAAGAATGGAGAAACAAGCCAGGTATGGTAGTTTACTTTAATCCCATCACTTGGGAGGCAGACACAGGTAGATCTTTGAGTATGAGGCCAGCCTGGTCTGCAGAGTGAGTTCCAGGACAGCCAAGGCTATACAGAGAAACCCTGTCTCAAAACACAAAACAAAACAAAAAGAGTAAAGAAGCAAGAAAATGGGAGATTGCTGCTGGCTCTTGTCCAGTTACTTTAGGTCACCCTTTTAATTGTGGCACTGAAGGAGTTTCATGGTAAGCACCCCTAGACCTAATCTAGGTTTGCCAGACAAATAGTTCTAGCCACCATCTGCAAGGACAGTCAGTGGTTCCATCTCAGGCTCTATGCTCAGTTTAACCTTGTGAGAACATCTTCTCATTTTCCTCTTCCTGCCTTATGGAATGCCTAAGATACATAACCAGAATGGTGTAAAAACAATGAAGTATAGTGCCCAATAAAATATACCTTTCAGAGCTAACTCCAGCTTCATAAAAGACAATCCCTGAACCAATAAGTAAAGTATGTATTCCCAGGTGGTTTGTGGTGCAAGAGACAGCACGTTGGGCTTCTGGTGACAAAAATGTTTGTTCCTTCACATTTTAAATACATATTTCTTAAAAACAATCTTTAAATGGTATGATTTTTGTTTTATTAACAGTCAGTATGTCACCAAATACTGATCCCCAAATAAAACTCCAGACTGAAGGAATTGAAATGTTTACTCAGAAAGTTATTCTTTGCATAATCTGTTAGAGACACATTCCTCAGCAAGCTGTATTACACAATATATATTTGGTAACTTTTATAACAATTTCACAGCATTTGTACTTTACCATCCAAGAGTCTACTTTGAGGCCAGTTTTATAAAGTGCTGTATCTCCTAGTATTTTGACCATGTGAAAGAAGCCGTGTGGGCTGTGGCAGTCTTGAGAGAAGTGGGGAAACCTGTGGCTGTGACCATGTGCATCGGCCCGGATGGGGACATGCATGATGTGACCCCTGGAGAATGTGCAGTGAAGCTGGCACAGGCAGGTAAAGTGGCCCATGAAGAGATGGGCAGTGCAGTGGCTGCTTCTGAAATGCAGCAAAATTTGCTTAATGTTGTCAGAAAAATAAAAGAACAAGAAGGAAAATGTCTATAAATCCTAGTGTAGCTGGTCTCTGATTTAGCTTCTAATGTTGTTTGATTGCTTGATGACTGATTGATTTGAAATGAAATGGAATCATATATGATCAGTGTAGCCCAGGCCAGTGTTGAATTTGTGACCACCCTGTTCTCTGATGATGCAGTTACAGGTATGCGCCACAACCAGCTCAGCTTCTAACTGTTATGAAAAGAGCGAACAAACAAATGAGTACACCATAAACTGTTCATATTAAGAACTCTAGGTTCTTTACTGCCTTGCACAAGGGCAGCCATCATTGGAGTCAATTGTCGGTTTGGGCCCTGGACCAGCTTGCAGAGCATGGAGCTCATGAAGGAAGGCCTCAAGGATTCAGGCCGGCAAGCTCACCGGATGGTGCAGTGCCTTGGCTTCCACACACCTGACTGTGGCATGGGAGGGTGTGTGGACCTTCCAGAATATCCCTTCAGTAAACTTGTATAAAGTCCCTTACATTTCTTACTGTGACTAAATTGATTCAGCTTTGTAATACAAGACCACGTAAGAAAAAAACTTCAGCATTAACCAAACAGATGCTATTTAAAGCGTGCATAATTTTTCTAGAATGTATAGTAGTTGTGTGTGTGTGTTTTTTTAACTGGGGTGGGGTTGGGATGGAGGAAAAGCCCAACCAGCCAAGAATCACCCTGCCGTTTGAACATAGGGCTGCACTGGTTTCTCTGCTGGTTGTTTTCACCAAATACCCAAGGAGAAGCAGCTTAAGGATGAAGTCCCTTGTGGTGTGAATGGCAGAATGTGAGGAAGGGAGTGGGCATGGCTTCAAGGCCTGCTCCAGGTGACCAACTTCTCCCAGCAAGATTCTATCTCTGGAGGTTTCACAACATTTCCAAATAGTCCGCAGCTAGGGACCAAGTATTCAAATACATGAACCTATAGGGGACATTTCACATTCAAACAACAGCAGACGTGGTAAAAAGAAATGTCAAAACCGATGTATTACATGTATTACAGGCCTGGAGCCCAGAGTTGCGACCAGATGGGATATTCAAAAATATGCCAGAGAGGCCTACAACCTGGGGGTCAGGTTCATTGGCAGCTGCTGCGGATTTGAGCCCTACCACATCAGGGCGATTGTGGAGGAGCTGGCCCCAGAAATGGGATTTTTGCCACCAGCTTCAGAAAAACATGGCAGCTGGGGAAGTGGTTTGGACATGCACACCAAACCCTGGATCAGAGCAAGGTGGGGTTGCTTTCAAGTTGCATTCATAATTCCACTCTAACCTTATTCTATATATTGCTGAAAACACAATATATACAGCAGCAGAGCAAAGAAAGGTGCATAGAATGAAAGCAAGCTGTCTCTACCTATTCCCAGGGGAAGCCTGGTCTGCTCAGGCTACTGTAACAAAATACCATCAACTAGGTGGCTTATAAACAACAGAAATTTGGGACCAAGAGTGGGGATGAGTGGTAGCCTGTACCTTTAATCAAAGCACTCATGAAACAAAAGCATACAGATTCTCAGTAAGCACAGGCCCAGCCTTACCTCTACATAGCAAGCTCCAGACCAGCCATAGCTACAAAATGAGACCCTATCTCAAAACAAACAACCCCCCTCCCAGAGTTCTGAAGTCCAAAATCAAGATGCCAATAGATGCAGTATTTGATGAAGGTCTGCTTTCTCAAAGATAGTGAATTTTTCCTGGGGGTTCTCATAGTAGAAGGGTCAAGGCAAGCTCTCTGGAGCATCTTTGATAAGGGCACTAATCCCATTCACTAGGGCTCCACACTTGTGATTCAATTACCCCAAAAAGATCCAATCAATGATCATATTGATTAGGTTTCAAAACGTGTGTGTGTGTGTGTGTGTGTGTGTGTGTGTGTGTTTTGAGACAGGATTTCTTTGTGTAGCCTTGGATGTCCTAGACTCTTTGTAAACCAGGCTGGCCATGAACTCAGAGATCTGCCTGCCTCTGCCTCCTGGCTTCAAAATATATTTCATAGGAAAATAACACATCCCCTTAGTTCTAGTTTCTTTTATATATGTGTATATATATTGTATATAATATATACATTTATACTATATAATATTTTATATACTATATATAACTATATTGTTCTGTAGTCACCCTATCATGTAGCTACATATGTTTCAATCCACCAATATGAAATAAACTCTATAAAATAAAATTTGACTCTCTCCTGTTTCTCTCTTCTTTGCCTCTCTCTTCTACTTTTTGGGTACTCTCTTCCCATTGTTTGCGTGCGTGCATGTGTGCCTGTGAGTTAGAGTGTTTTGGTGCTTCCTCAGGTGTCATCCACCTTAGTTTGCTGGCTAGTGAGCTGCAGCAGTTTCTGCCTCCCCAGTGCTGGGATTACAGGCACACACTACCACATCTGGCTTTTTATGTGGGTGCTAAGGCTTGAACTCAAGTCCTCATGTATGCATGGCAAACACTTTCTGACTGAGTGATCCTCCTGGCCCCATTCTTCAGCTCCTTCAAGTTATACTAGTAACATTTTTAACAACCATGTAATCACAATTTAAGTCTTCCAGGCTTTATATATAAAAATCTAAAGCTAGGGAATGGCATTTACAATATTATTACAATGTTGTATAAGCCATAGATCCACTTTTCAAACCTTGAGCTGCTTGAAGGAGAATGTTTCTGGCATCAAGGTTTGGTAGATTCTCCTCTCTTATATTTTATCAGTAGTCCAAATTCTTGCCGGATGTAAATGAGCTTCATGATTGGACTGACATTCTTGGTGCTTGAATAACATCTGTCTTCTAGGAATTTCTAGATAACTTCCTTTTTCATTGTTGAGAATCAAAGGCCTTCATCTTCTCCAAGGTCTTCGAGATTCTAAGCTATATTATATGTTACAATTGCTTTACAATTAAACATGTTTCTCTCAGGGCCCTGAAAACCTAGTTTTATTTTGGCTCACTATGTACCTGTATATTCTTTCTCTTTCCATATCTATCAATCCAGTGCCATCTTCTTCACATATTCTAGAAACTGGTCATGACTTGAGCTTCTTCCTCATGGTCTCCTGCTTTCTCAATGATACTATGTAGTAAACGCACTTCTTTGTACATCTTAGTGAGATTTGAAGGCAAGAAATCATTGCCAAACCTTTCTATGGGTGTCTGTCAGAAAGGATGGTTTTTACACGTGTAACCAATAAAAATGTACTAAATGTAAATATAACCCAAAGGCAAAGAAAGGATGCTTTGGTGATAATTACAAGTTTAAATAAATGAAAATAGCTTATTTTGGTTGCCACCACCTGCACATCCTTAAAAGTAGTGAACCTTGATGAGATTGGGGTGTTGAAGTCTCCCACTATTAAGGTATTAGGATCAATGTATGATTTAAGCTTTAATATTGTTTCATTTACGAATGTAGGTGCTCTTGTATTTGGGGCATAGATATTCAAAATTGTGATGTCCTCTTGTTGGATTTTTCCTTTGATGAGAATATAGTGGCCCTCCTTATCTTTTTTGATTAACTTGGGTTGAAAGTCTATTTTATTAGATATTAGGATGGCTACTCCAGCTTGTTTTCTGGAACCATTTGCTTGCAAAACATTTTTCCAACCCTTTACTCTGAGGTAGTGTTTATCTTTGTTGCATAGGTGTGTTTCTTGGATGCAACAGAATGTTGGGTCCTGTTTCCGTAACCATTCTGTTAGCCTGTGTCTTTTTATTGGTGAGTTGAGTCCATTAATATTGATAGATAATATTGACCAATGCATGTTAGTTCCTTTTGTAATGGAGTCGATGATCTTACCTTGTTTCATTGCTTGTTTTCTTTTCATTTTTGTTGGGATATTATCTGTATGCCCTGTTTTCTTGGGTGAATTCGTTTTCGTTGGATTGGAGTTTTCCTTCTAGTATCTTCTGTAGGGTTGGTTTGCTGTATAGATATTGCGTAAATTTAGTTTTGTCATGGAATATTTTGTTTTCTCCATCTATGTTGATTGAAAGCTTTGCAGGGTATAGTAGTCTCGGTTGACATTTGTGATCTCTTAGAGTCTCCATGATGCTTGCCCAGGCCCTTCTGGCTTTCATAGTTTCTGATGAGAAGTCTGGTGTGATTCTGATAGGTCTACCTTCATATGTTACTTGGCCTTTTTCCCTTGCTGCTTTTAATATCTTTTCTTTGTTCTGTAGATTTAGTGTTTTGACTATGATGTGACGTGATGTGTTTCTTTTCTGGTCTAGTCTATTTGGTGTTCTGTAGGCCTCTTGTATATTTATGGACATCTCTTTCTTTAAGTTGGGAAAATTTTCTTCTATGATTTTTTTGAAAATATTTTCTGGACCTTGGAGCCTGGACTCTTCTTTTTCATCAATTCCTATTATTCTTAGATAACAAACCAAGTAATCCACTTAAAAAATGGGGAACAGAGCTAAACAGAGAATTCTCGAAAGAGGAACATCGAATGGCAGAGAAACACTTAAAGAAATGCTCAACCTCATTAGCCATTAGGGAAATGCAAATCAAAACGACCCTGAGATTTCACCTTACACCCATCAGAATGGCCAAGATGAAAAACTCAAGTGATAGCACATGCTGGAGAGGTTGTGGAGAAAAGGGAACCCTCCTCCATTGCTGGTGGGAATATAAACTGGTTCAACCACTCTGGAAGTCAATCTGGCGCTTTCTCAGACAACTAGGAGTAGTGCTACCTCAAGACCCAGCTATACCACTCCTAGGTATATACCCAAAATTTGCTCAAGTACACAACAAGGACATTTGTTCAACCATGTTCGTAGCAGCTTTATTTGTAATAGCCAGAACTTGGAAACAACCCAGATGTCCATCAACGGAGGAATGGATACAGAAATTGTGGTATTTTTACACAATGGAATACTACTCAGCAATCAAAAAGGAGGAAATCATGAAATTTGCAGGCAAGTGGTGGGATCTAGAAAAGATCATTCTGAGTGAAGTATCCCAGAAGGAGAAAGACAAACTTGGTATATACTCGCTTATATAGACCTACAAGACATGATAAACATAATGAAATCTACACACCTAAAGAATATAATCAAGAAAGTGGACACAGGCGAAGGTGATTAATCCTCATTTAGAAAGACAAATGGGATGTGCATTGAACTTATGACAGGAGTCTACCACAAAAGGCATCTGAAAGACTCTACCTAGCAGTGTTTCAAAGCAGACACTAAGACTCATAACCAAACCCTCGGCAGAGTGCAGGGAATCATATGAAAGAAGGGAAGTTAGTATGATATGGAAAGGATAGGAGCTCTACAAGGACCAAATATATCTGGGCACAGGGTCTTTTCTGAGACTGACACTCAACCAAGGACCATCTATGGATATAACCTAGAACTTCTGCTCTGATGTGGCCTGTGGTAGCTCAGTAACCAAGTAGTTTTCCAAAGTAAGGGGAACACGGACTATTTCTAACAGGATCTCAAGGGCAGGCTGTTTGACACCCCCCCCCCAGGGGAGGAGCAGTCTGTTAGGCCACAGAGGAGGACTTTGCAGCCAGCCCTGAAGATACCTGATAAAACAGGGTCAGATGAAAGGGGAGGAGGTCCTCCCCTATCAGGGGACTTGGAAAGGGGCAGGGAGGAGACCAGGGAGGGAGTGTGGGGTTGGGGAGGGAATGAGGGAGCGGGATACAGCTGGGACACAGAGTTAACAAAATGTAACTAAAAAGAAAAATTAAAAAAAAAAAAGTAGTGAACCAATAAAATTGAAACATTAGTCTGAAGACCAAAGTACCCCATGCATCCTAAACTTCCAAACCTGCTAATGTCTGTAGAAAGTCATGATTCATGGAGGCCATTATAAGCCATGAGTTCTGGCATTGCATTATAAAAAGTATTAACCTTTCTCATAAATTTCCTAAGTAAAATGAGGGACACTGTAAGAGTATAATATTTATCAGCAAAGTCTGTGCCCAGGAACCCTGTACTCTTTTTTTTAACTTTGTCAAAAAATCCAAGGACCAAAACATCCTACAAAGTATAGAGTACAAAGGTTATTTGCATTCTGTTCTTGGTTACTTTATTGAAGAATTATTCTTTGTCTCATTACGTTTAAAATTATTTCCACAAACTTCTCTAATCACGAAAATACAGAGTAGAGTTAGGAAGATTCTGCTGGATGTTTGAGGATAAACTGTAAATAATGATGATGATGATAAAAACTTCTCCTATAACTGAAATACATTGCTTCTGAAAAGTGGCCTGAAGCCTAGTGACCAATAATATGGTAAAGGTATGGAAACAGGCTTGGGGAAATGGCTCAGTAAGTTCACTGGTTTAACAAGGATATAGTGAAGGCCTGGGCCCAGATGTGCAGAACCAAATAAAAAAGCCAAGCACAGCATCATACACCTGCAATCTTGGTGCCAGGGAGACAGGTGGGTTCTTGAAGCTCACTGGCCAGATAAAGGAGCTAAATTCATGAGCTTCACATTTTACAAAAAAAAACACCCTTGTCTCAAAAAATAAAGTACAGGACAACTCAGGGAGACAGCTGACCCCTCTCTCTCTCTCTCTCTCTCTCTCTCACACACACACACAAGCATGTATACGTATATGTACACACATATATACCACACACACAATTGTGAAAAAGCTACAGCATGAATGTAGAGTTCTAACTGTATGTTGAAACAAAATTTTACTTTAGTTTGATATCTCTGTCTCCCTTCCTTCCTTTGAGATCAACATACAGAATTGGTTTGGTAAAATGAGTTAGGATCTTTTACTTAATGGTGCATATTTTCTAAACCCAGGGCTAGACGGGAATACTGGGAGAATCTGCTGCCAGCTTCAGGAAGACCCTTCTGTCCTCCCCTATCAAAGCCAGATGCATAAGAAGCAATGAAAGAAAACTCTGAAGTGAGAAATGACTTCAAGCCCCATCTGGAACCTTCCTCATTGCTGCCCTTAGCCTAGTCTGTTCTTCCAGCTGCTGAGAGCATCAATGAGCTGCAACACATCTCTCCTGAGCATGCTTATCAGATGCAGTGACGCTGTGGAGGCACCTGGACCTGGACCCCCACCCCACATACTCTGTGCCTAGTGATGTCATATTGCATCCATTTGAAGATCATCAGGCATGGCCAGAGTTGGCTCTCAGGGTGGAGTTGACATTCTCAAATAATCAGAAGTCAGCAAGAAGCAACCTTGGTGAATAATTCGGCTGTCTAAGCTAGGTGCTGAAGGGAGAGCAGTGTTCTGAACTAGCAATCAGTCAGTCTGCTTTTCTCAAGTGATTTCTATTGTAGCTACAAACACAGTCTCCATAGAGGAGAGCCAAAGCTGCTGTGAGTGATGGCAGGAGTACTGAATAAGCACAAAGCTTTGCTCTCAAAGATGATTTTTTTTTTTTTTTTTTGCATTCAGGTCCTTGAATTTGTGAGTGCATCTTTATAATCATACATAGCTAGATAATAAACTACTGACACTCAAAGTCCATATAGTATGCTTCTTGCATTCTATTCTATTTAGCATGGTGCTGAATATAATCACCAATGCTCAATGAAATACTTGTTGATTAAAGTAAAACAGACAAACCTTGGAAGATGTTTTTAGAAGTCAGAGTTCAAGTACAGCTCACTTCTTTGATTCATGTTTTTTTTTTTTTTTTTCACGATATGGCCACTTTTCTCTTTTTCACTACAATGCAGCAATGCATAACAATTACTAAAATTACAAATAATTTCCTTGTATGGAAGTTGAGTGGCTTAAATTTCATTGGCCTCCTTAGAATAATGATAACAAATATGTGTTGCTTGTCATGTGTTCTAGCTACGTGGTCATGGGGGTTAAAACTGAGATACCTCAGTTTTTAATATAGAAGTTTGCAGGGTAGAAAGAGGCCTGATGAGGCTAATGTACTTGCTATGGACATTTGCTAAGCAAATGTGTAGCTCTGAAATCCTCAACCACTGTTGTGTGCTGCCTCTGCCATGCACACAACTCGTTGCTTTTCTTTTTCTTTTCTTTTTTTTTTAAACAATGATTGAATTTGAGGTAATTAGTATTTCTACCTCCTTATATGTTTACCATGTCTTTATGCCAAATGCCTTCAAATTCCTCTCTCTGGTGTGTCATAAAATACAAAGTATGGAGTTTAATGTTTTTTATCAACTGCCTGGAGATTGAAGTTATCCTTCAGTCCTGATGTGGTTGTTTCTGTATTGATAACAGCCTGGGTTGTTATTCATTGACTGTTACCACTTAACAGAAGGACATCTGATGCAGTTAGAGAGTGGATTATCTATAATCACATCAAAGCCTTTGGAGTCCAATCTAAGCCACTGATCAAGTGCCCAACAACCTCTGCAATGGTCTTCAGCTAGAACTCTAGAGCTTCCCTGTACCTCATCATCTCTAAAGATCACTTACTTCTTTTAAAGATACATCTCAGTCTTAGAAAGTGACTCTGTAGTAACCAGAAATCTACTCACTACAACCTTCAAAAAAAACTTTCACAGTGGTTTTTTTTCTTTTAATTTAAAAATCAGTTGAGACTCAAATTAACAAAGACTAGCTCAGTTAGACCTTAAGCAAGTGTGAGGCCACCTGTCACCTTTCCAGGTTGATAGTTGTGACAGCTTCAAAAATGTAAAGTTCAGAATGTGAGCATCCCAGGAATGCAATGACTGTGCATGGACAGACCCCTGTTCAGATGTAGCCAATTAGCAGCTCAGTCTCCATGTGAGTCTCTGAGTAAGGGGAAGAGGGGCTGCCTCTGTCATGAACTCAGTTGATTACTCTTTGATCACTTGCCTCTGGTGATGTGGCCTTACCAGGCCACAAAAGAAGAGGATCCAGGCAGTTCTGACATACTTGATAAGCTATGGACAGATGGCAGAGGAAGAGGACTCCCACCAGGGAAGGGAGATGGGGAGGGAGGGAGAGTGGGGGGAGTTGAGGGAGGAGGCTTCAATCAGGATTTATAATGAATAAATTGTAAAAAAAAAAAACCTTAAAGTTAAGAAAATAAAAGAAAGATGTAAACAGGGACAATAAGAAAATGAAGCTTAAAGAGATGCTCATAAGTAACAAGACAAGATGTGGGGTGGAACGGAAGACTGCCCTGAGCAGCCTGTTACTTGTGCTCCCTAAACGAAACACTGCACAGCCACTGTAAATTGGCTCTTGAAGGCTGCTGGATAAGCTGGTTGTGCGTGCTATTTTGTTTGATGATGTGTAGTTGGAACATTATTGATAGGACAAAAGTCATCTCACGTAATTAAACATGCAGGTCTTACTTTGGGTGTAGAGTTTCAGTGGCCTTGCCTAAGATGTTGGCAACACTAATGTTGATAAGGAACCCAAGAGATAAGCAGATACACCATGAAAGTTTGAGTGTTTTGTTGCTTGGGTTTGAACACATGGCTTTGCACATGCTAACTAAGTACTCTAACACTGAGCTACACCTCCAAGCCACACATTAAATTTACAAAAAACAAACAAACAAAAAAAACCCCACTGTTTGGAGACAGAGCCTCATCGTGTAGTCCAGGCCAACCTTGAACTACTGATTCTTCTGCTTCAACTTTCTGAGAGTACAGATGTGTGAGCACAACTGGCTGCAAACATTTTTTAAAGGATTGATTTTCTATGTGAAAAGACTGAAAAACTTATATAGTGATTGGATCACAGTTTAAATAATAATAGAGCATATTAAGGGAAAGTATTTTAACTCCATTAAAAAAAAACCTATTTCTCTAAACACATCCTCTAAACACTTTCTGTCTTATTCACCTTGTTCTCACAATACTAAACAACCCATTTAAATAATTTAAAACATCAGAAAAGCAAATATAAAAGCATTGTTTAAGTAGAAGAAATGGTCGTACAAAATGACTATTCAAAAGATAGTAAGATAGTTCAGTAATATGAGGATTAAATTTCTATATACAAAGGTCATTGCTCTTCTATAAATACTTGACAACTCCTTTAATAGTATATTAAAAATATTCATTTCACATTTTAACAAAATGATTATCTAGGAAGAAAATTAACAGGAGGTATATAAGAGCTATTGAAGGGAATCGGGGAAATGCAGCTGCAGGATGATGAATAAGCCTTCGGTACATACATGCACCTGCTCAAAGAAAGGTGCTGAGATACTCTGAACTGATTAACAACTGTCATAGGACCTAGAGGAAAAATGCCATCAGCATTGAGGAAAAAGAGGCATGCAAACTCTTATGTTCATGTGGAACAGAACTACAGAAACAAAGGTAAAATTAGAAAAAAAAAAGTAGTAAGGTAAGTGTGGCCCTGTCAGACAATCACTGTGTACAACAGTAATTAAAACCATGGGCCTGAGGAGGTGGCTCAGTAGGTAAGAGTACTTGTATTTCCAGAGGACGTTAGATTCCGTTCCTGGCACTCATATGGAGGTGCACAACCAATTGTGAGTCCATTTCCAGGTGATGTGGGAACCTCTTCAGGCTTCTTTGAGCACAGGACATGAGAGTGGTGCACAGACATACATGCAGGTAAAACATGCATACACTTAAAAATAAAAATAAAAAAGAATAAAATTAAATAAAAATACACAGACTACCTGTGTTTTAAAGGAGTGGAAGAAAGCAGTGCACAATAAGGGGGCATTTCAAATCACCAGGAGAAATTTCAAATTTCAAATCAGCAGGGGACAACTGATCAAGTGATCTAGCTCATGCATTCTCTCTCTCTCTCTCTCTCTCTCTCTCTCTCTCTCTCTCTCAAGTTAAAGTTGATCAAAGTCGTGACCAAATTCCATGAAGAAAAAGCCATAAAAGAAAAAAAAAAAAACTGGGGGGTTGAATTTAGCTCAGTGGTAGAGCATGTGCCTAGCAAGCACAAGGCCCTGGGTTTGATTCTCAGATCTTAAAAAAAGAGAGAGAGAGAGAAAAAAAAAAACCTGTTCCACAAAAGTGTTTAAATGTATGCATACACACAAAATCCTCTAGTCTAAACTATGGTGAGGGAAATGGAGAAAGTGCAATGGTCATCAGCAAGCACTCTTTCACGGGTCTTGAGCTACTTTAGACCAACCTTTCTCCCATTCATGCGTACATGACGAGGGAGGTGCAACAATATTCAGGACTCCCTGTTTTATTGGGTTTCGTGAAGTGAAAGGAGACCCAGCTGGGACCCAACAAAACTATTTGATCAGCACTAGTATCACTGTCCCTCCTCCACATTCACTGCATAGGAACATGCATATGTACAGCAGAGGACATGGTCACCAGGATGCGTCAGGGAGCACACACAGGGAAGAGATGACATGTGAGGATGGGATATGCAGGCACTGATATAGCACAGAGGCCATCTCTTTTGGAGTCACATGCAGTCCATAACAGAACTTGTGTAGCCCAAAATGCCTTCCTTTCCCAGGTAGCAGGCTGTGTCCCTTTGAGCAGCTTCTGGGGATCAGCTCTCCACCTGTATCCTACGTGACCCGACACTTAAAACACTCATAACCTTTAAAGGTTTTGCTTTTCTTTCTCTCTTTTTTTTTCTGTTAAAGGTTTTCTAAAAACAAAATACACACACACACACACACACACACACACACACACACACTTTTGATGTGTTATTTCTTTTTTTCCATATATCATTTCTTTATTTCAATGCCTCCTGTACTCTTTTTTAATTTTAATTTTTTTTTCACAATTTATTCATTATATATCCCAATTGAAGACCCCTCCCCCAACTCCCCAGTCCATACTCTCTCCCTCTTCTCCCCATCCTCTTACCCACTGAAAGGGGGAGTTCTCCACTATTGCCATCTGTCTATAACTTGTTAAGTCTCATCTGGACTGTATGGATCCTTTTCCTCTGTGGCCTGGTAAAATCACATCATCAGGGGTGAGTGATCAAAGAGCAGTCAACTGAGTTCATGATAGAGGCAGCCCCTGCTGCCCTCACTCAGAGATCCACATGGAGACTGAACTGCCAATCAATCACATCTGAGAAGGGGGTCTAGGTCCTCTCTACACATGGTCCACCACTGGTGCAGCAGTCTCTGCCATTTCCATTCAATGGGAACATTTGCTCAACTATCTTCATTGCAGCTTTATTTGTAATAGCCCGAATCTGGAAACAACCTAGATGTCCCTAGATGGGACCTAGATGGAAGAATGGATACAGAAATTGTGGTACATCTACACAGTGGAATACTGCTCAGCTATTAAAACAAAGAAATCATGAAATTTGCAAGTAAATGGATGGAGCTAGAAGAGATCATCCTGAGTGAGGTAACCCAGAAATAGAAAGGCAGTCATGGTATACACTTATAAGCAGATATTAGCCGTATAATAGAGGCCAGCCATCTACAGACCTAAAGAAGCTAAACACTAGGAGGACCCTAGGGAGGATGCTTAAATTTCATTCAGAATGGCAGACAGGATAGACACCAGAAGGGGTGGAAAAGAGGAAACAGGATGGAAGCCTACTATTGAGGGTCCTCTGAAAGGATTTACCCAACAGGGGATCTAAACAGATGCTCAGACTCAGCCAAACTTTGGGCAGAGCACGGGGAGTCTTATGGAGGAAGAGAGGGGTGGGAATAGAGGGACATGGAGGGGACAGGAACCCCACAAAGAGACCAACAAAACTAAAAGATCTGAACCCAGGGGTCCTACAGAGAATGATGTTATTTCTATGGACATAAAAATCAAAAGCAATGGAAAAATGAGATCATCTTTCCCTCATTGGAGGTGTGAAAAAAGCTTACTTTATGTCTTTCTGAAGCAAGGAAGACAATAGGTAATGAACAATATATGTGTCGATATAAGGATCCAAGTGCTAACATCCTGCCAAAAATATTTGCATGTGTCTAATCAACTAAGAGAGACTTTGCTGAATTTACAAATTAGAGCATATATTACCCCCACTAAGCACAGTAAAAGCTAGCAAAGAAGTGAGATGCCTTTTTTCCCCCACGTGTTGACAAGATCAAGAAGTTAATGATTCCTTTTTGTTTGTTTGTTTTTGTTTTTTTTCCAGACAAGGTTTCTCTGTGTAGCCTTGGCTATCCTGGACTTTCTTTGTAGACCAGACCGGCCTTGAACTCACAGCCTGCCTCTTTCTCCTTGAGTGCTGGGATTACAGGTTGGCGGCACCGTGCCTGGCTGTTAATGATTTTTTGTATTGATGAAGAGGCAGGGGACTGACACACCTGTACATACACACTATGTAGAAATGTAAAATATCATAAACCATTTAGAAAACAATTTGTCCACAACTACCAAAATTTCAAGTTACACATCCTTGTGTGCACAATTTCCTTACGAGGAAATTTTCATATGTGTCCAAAGGTGCATGTCTGGAAACCACTTAAATATCCAACAATAACACATAAGTTAGTAAATTCTCAAAATTTACATATATTGAAGTTTAGAATCACCAAGAAGGACACATTAAGGCTGGAGAGATGGCTGAGCTGGTGAAGGTACTAGCCACCACACTTGATGAACAAGTTTCATCTCTAGAAACCATGCCGTAGAAAGAGAGAAAGAACCTAATAGCAAGTTGACCTCTGATCACACATGTATGTGAGCACACTTATGTGCTCACACACAGAGAGCGAGGGGGGTGAGGCGGACATGTTGAATCAGCATGCTGTTAAATAGAAGGTCATTCCTAGATGTGTTAGAGGAAAGCTTGCACCCTCGTGTGAGTACAGACCATGCCTGGAAGGAGCATTTCCCTTCCTTAAATGAAAATTTCATGACTGAAAGTCTATTGCCAGACAAGGACTCCTCTTCACCCATACCTTATTTAGTCTGAATTTGTTTATGTGAATAGGCACTATGTTTTCCAGGAAATAAATCAGCTTAACAAGTTATGAAAAAAAAATTTGGTTGTAAGGAGGGTATCATGGAAGGTACAGGAGGGTTCCTGTAATAGCACAGAACAGGGAGTCCGCACCACCAATGATGTATACCAACCAAGAATACCAGAGTGAAATCCAATGAAGCCAACTAAGAGGACATAGACAGTTTTTGTTCATTTTCCATTGCTGGGTATTTCTAAAGAATAAACGTTTCAGGGGCTGGAAAATCCCCACATGGTGTTAGCATACAGGCAATTCAGATGGCCTGACTTCAAGGACCTAGCAATTGCTAACATCATCATTTGCCGCCACCACCAGGTGTGACCAGTGTATGGGGATGGCATAAAAAGACCCCTGCTCTCTCTCTGCCTCTTATGTTTCAGCTCCTTCTCCCTCTCTATTGTAGGCACCTCCCTTTTCTCCCTCTCTGACACCTCTGTCTCTCTGCCCTCATGGCTTACTTGCTCTACCCCTTCTCTAAGTCCTTCTCTTTCTTCCCCAATAAACTTCCTTATGCCATATCTTTTGTGTGGCATAATTCCTCAGTGGGTATACCTGGGCATGGACTTGCCATGGTACCCTGCTGCTGAATTGTTATATATCATAGCAGTGTCCATGAATGGTGAGGGCCCTCTTGTAGTCTCAGCATGATGAAGGGCACCAGCTGTGATGTAGAACTAGTGTGCTGGTATTTCTCTTCTATTAAATCCAATGATGCTATTTTGAGAGGAGAACCTTCATGACCTCCTGCATTCCAGATCATGTCTCAAGGGCCTTCCCTCTGAATGCAATACATTAGACTTTGAAGACTGTCTCAACATGAATTTTAAAGGAGCTATTCAAAGGTTAGCATAGGAAGAAGATACATACCACCAAAGGAAGCACTCAGGCAAATCATGTTTTTCGAGGCAGCTAGTTTCTTTTACATGGAAATGTCATGAGCACATTCATCTGTAAAGAGTCAGACCTATATACTTGTGAGGTTCTGCACCTATGGATGCAAGCAGCCTCAGACTGAAGCTGTTCAAGGGCCAGAGCAGGGGTTGCACCTCTATGTAACTCATGCAGCAATTCAGTCCTGGGCAGTTCAGTGCAGTAGCATGGACACACACTGTTATTAGAGTAATGTGGAGATGTGAGGGCTATGGGGCGGTCTGTAGGTTGTGTGAAGTTCCTATGCCATCTCGTAGAAGGAGTTGGGTACCCCGAGAGACAACTCCATAAAGACCTGATGTGTGCTCCCAGATGGGCGCCTGCTTGAAAAATTATGCCTGCCTAGGAAACCTAGTCCTGTGGGAACAACTAGGGGAGTTAGAACATAAACTAGATAATAAGTAATCAAAATCAATTCTAGTAATGCAATTAATTCTTAACTCTTTGGAGAAAAATTTAAAAGCATACTGAATGTTAAATTATCCTTTATATTTACTTTAAATATCTTATTATCTAAAGTAAGGGGATTTTTTTTAAGGTAAGATTTCCACAGATTCTGATTTGGTAGGAAGAAACCAACAGAGAGGTAATTGTTAACACCCTCTCCACCCCCAAAACACACACACATACATAAGACTGATGATCCGTGAAACTAAGAAAAACTGGTTTGGACCAGCTCTTTCCAGTTCCACAGTAGATATTTGCTGTCCTAGAGAGTTATCAAGAAGAGCTGATGGCCCTCTGATAAACCTGCTGTGAGGAGAATCACAAATGCAAACTAGCCAATAGCTGGCATAGAAGAGATGAGGAGAAGCCCAGGCTGGAAGCCAGGTAGAGGTGAAGGTCAGCTGGAAAAACAATTCCTGCTTTGCCTTGGTCATAGCCCTTATGCAAAAAGCACAAGCAAAGTTAGGCAACCCGTTTTGGCTGCACAGCCAGCTGCCTTGAAGACAGGTACACACTTTGTTTAATGAATAATTAAAATGCTGAGAGGAGTTTTAGAAGAGAACATCTGCCCAACCTTGGGCTTTTTACTAGTGACTTAGGTCAAGGAAGGCTGACTACAGGATTCTGGCCAGCCTCTTATCTGGGTAAAGGAGCGTATGCCAATGACTGATC